CAGCAGGAACATCTGGTCTGCATAGGAGGTGGTCCCTCGGAGGAAACTCTCCACAGCCCGGGCTTGCCAAAACCTGCGACCCAAATGTTGACCCCTGGCCCAGGTGGCTAAGGCTGCCCTCTTCTGGCCCATGTTCTATTCACCAAGGGGCTGGGAGATGTCTGCTGCCTTTTCATTTATCCAACAGACATTTATTGAACGTCTATCTACTAGGCATCGGGCCTCACACTAGGCACTGGGGACACATCAAGGGTCCCCATCCTCAGGGATGTGACGGCTCAAGGGGGAACAGTCCTCCATGTGGTTTGTCTGGAAGGAGCTGTGTCTTGGAGAAGGCAGCATCTAGGATCAAAGGGCTGGCCCTGTGAATCACGTGTGAAAATACACTCTAGCCTCTGCCCCTTCAGAGGAACAGGAGGACATGGAAGCGAGGGGCCGGGAATGCATAAGGGAACCTGACAGATGTGTGGACAGACCACCGAGCTCACTTCTGATGGGCTGTCCTAGAGAAGAGGCGGCTGATGTTGACTGAGTGGCCCCAGAGGGCAGAGCTGGGATCCATAAGGGGACGTCAGGACAAAGCAGGCTGAGTTGACAGGGGACCCTTGGGGATGGAGCCTACTGACAGCTCACACCCACCCTGATGGAATGCCTCCCTCACCTGCTACTGCTGTCTGCAGCCTTTAAGACTCAACTTAGATGAGTCTAAGGAACTGAGGTGCCCTCCCTGTCCGCACCCGCCCCACCAGCCTTTCCTTTGCTCCCACAGCTCCCGGGGCAGGTCCTGGCTCCAAGCCTTTCCACACTGCAACCCCCACACAGGTTTCTTTTCATGCTTGTTTCTCACAACCCAGGCAACTCCATGTGGGCAGGGACTGTAGCTCCCATTTCTCCCCCACCTGTCCAGCACCAGCACAGAACAGGTGCTTGGTGAATGCTTGGTCAATTCTTGAAACACACTGGTGGCGCGCAGCAGAAGCTAGCGAGTACGTGCTGAGTCAACACAAGGGAGATGGCAAAATCCCTCTCCCTGACAGTAACCAGATGTCCGGGGTAGAAGCTGGTGACTAAAGAAGGTAATTCTAACAGCTTAAGAAACACTTGGCTCGTGGGCCCTCAGGAGTGGCAGGTGCGTGTCCCAGGTCTACCTGAAAGATGACTCAGCTGGCTCCTTCTTCATGACCTGCAGCAGACGAGTTAATAAGCCCCTCTTCCCATCACACACCAAACTCCTGAAATAAAACAGACAGGAACATATTGGGGGCAGATCTGAGAGGCTGACAGGGGCCAAATTCCACTTGGCCGAAGGACTGTGTCTTGGGGCCCTGGGGTTGGGTGTCTCTGCTGGGGTAGGTGGGTAAAAAAACATGGTGACATTTCCAAACCTACAGGATGTCCTCCTGCTCTACCTGGGTCCAGAGCACCCTAAGGACTCCTGCAGTCTCACAACTGAATAGCCAAGTGCATTCTCACTACATCTCAGGGAAGCTTTCCCTGCCCAAACTCACTGACAAGTGATCAGAGGCCAAAAACAAAACCAGAGTCACACAGGGCTCAGAACTGCTGGAGAGAGGGCTGCTTACAACAAAAGTGGGTTTGAAATACCATGACAGAGTCTAGCAGATGGGGCAAAGTCTGTGCCAACAGGGTGAGGCAGGGAGTACCCTGGGCCCCAGGTTCGGCTCCAGCTGGCCTTGGACAAGTACCTGAGGCTCTGGGCCTCCGCTTCCTGGTCTAGGAAGCAAAGACAGTAAGTGAGGAAATGACTCAGGTTGCATTATCGGGGAGAGAGGGCCAAGCAGGTAGGGACTCTAGGTCCTTAAACTCCCCCTTCAAATAGAGCAGCTCTACTATTCACCCACTACAGGTGTTAGGGTGGGACTATATTCACTTTCATTTGAACAAAGATTTCTGCTACTTTAAAAGTACAAACAAACAAACAAAACAGGCTGGAGAATTACAACTCCTGTGGCTGGATACAGTCCTCCCTCCCTCCCCTGACCCCTGTGAGCCTGTGACTTCCCTGCTCCACTCTAGAAAGTGAGGCAAGTGTAACCCAGCTAATGGGACTTGGCAGAGGGCAGGAAAGGAGCGTGTCAACGAAGCTGAGTGACAAGGGAGAGAGCAGAGTATATATGACCTGTGGGAGGTGACCTGAGCCCCTGCTCCCCAGTCTGTAAAGTGGAGGTGACGATGGCACTTCCCTCCAAGGGCTGCTGTGGGGCGCCAATGAGATAATGCAGGTGACGGGAGGACAGTGCCTGGCACACAGGAGCCCTCAAGACACTGTAGCTACACGTGGGTGAGAAAGGACAAGTACACACACCTGTGTGCACCCATCTGGGAGCCCTGGGACACGCAGGAAACCAGGGTGGGCTGTGGGCCACAGATGCACCCCAGCCATGCTCACCTGTCAGTGTTGAGGACGGCTTCCACCTCGGGGATGTTGGCCTTGAGAGAGATGGCGCTGAGTTCATTCAGCTCTTGGTTGTTGAGCAGTAGATACTTGTTCCTGAAATAAATGTGTTGGAGGCAGTAAAGGACAGGAACTGTGGCTGCCGCATCAACACTGGGCTAGTCCCCTGCCCATTTGCTGTGGAGGGAATCCGAGAAGCCCTGGGGTACCCGCCCCCAACGCCACCTACCCCGAGCCAGCATTCTGTGGCAGGGCACGCAGCCCACTGCTCTCAGGCTGTGGGAGTCTCCCTGGCCCCAACGCCCACCCTCTGCCTGCCACGTCCACTAATGAGGCCCCTTTCCTTAGCATCTCTAGGCCTTTCTTTTGCCACTGAACATTTCTATTTAATTTCTCAAAGGCACTTCCAACTCAGTGATGTCCAAATCAAACTCATCATTTTACTCAAGACTGGCCCTGTTCCAGCATTCCCACCAGGAGGCCTGACTCGGCTGTGACACTCCCTCCCTCCTTTCCCTTTCACATCCAGGCCTCTCATCTCCCAAGTCATGTGGACAGAACCAGCTTCCTAAATGGTCTCCCCACAGGAGTCAATCCCACACACAGCACCCAGAATAATCTTCAGATAACTGGAATCTGATCATGTCACTCCCATGAAAAATGCTCCCACATTTTCGCACTGCTTTAGAATATATAAAATCCAAGCCTGAGAACATGACCCATCAGATTTAAGAATCTGATGAAAGCTAGGGGCTCAATTCTTCAGGAAAAAAAGGACACATTCAGAACATATTGGTGCCGTTTTTCAGGGCTGACATACTTGCTGGAGCTTGAGGCCTTCAGACAGAGGACCTCTCAAAGAGGATGATCAACACGATCCAGACAAAAGCTGCAAAGTGAAGGCCCCTGAGGTCACATGTGTCCTCAGGCATGTCCTATTAGCTTATACAATATTTCAAAAGAATATAAACCAGCACTTAAAAATCAGGACTTTTCACATAAATCTTAATTTCTGACTTTCCTTGGGGGGAAAACTCAGAAGCTATGCAACACTGGGCCTTGTTTCCTGTACACCAACAGCTGTGAAGAGCTGAGCAGTGGCTGCCTGTTGTGTTCCAGCTCACCAAGGTCTCACCAACGCCAGGGTCAGCTGCCATTTACCCCACCCCTGCACTTTCCTTATAGCAGAGAATCATTCTCCAATACATCCTCCACCAAAGGTTGGACAGTAAAAATAAGAGGGCAGAGTGTGTTTCAAGGAAAACAGGGAAGAGTACATCTCCTTGTACAGGTGAAGAATATTCCATCTGCTCAACATGCCCACTTTGGCCATCTGAGGTTCCTGCTGGCCCCTGCGAACAGACAAGCTCCTGGCTCAGAGGGACAGACGGCTGAGAGCTCTATTGACCCCAAGGGTAATAAGGGGCCAGCAACTTCCACACTCACTTCCAAGGTGGCTGTGGGGCAAGGGGAAACTCAGTGTAGGGCCTGGCATAAAGGAAGGGCTGCACAAATGGCAGCCCTGATCATGGAAGTGCAGCCCCATGCGGTTGCCCTGAGGTGAGAGTGGCTCTCACGGCGCCCAGGTCCTCCTGAGCCGAGGTCAGCGATTAGACAAAGGGAGAAGAAAAGACAACGAAACAACGCTCCTCCCAGGGATGGCTCGTACTTACTCATGGTGGTCGCTGAAACTCTGGAGGAGCCTCAAAAACTGAATCTTCAAGGTGATGTCCTAAAATACATGTGCATCCTCGATGTTAAAACCACAGTCACAATGTTCCAAAAGAAAACAAAAGGCTCTGGTGACAGCCTGGATGTCACTCTGCTTCTCTGAGCCCCTGTCCTCGTGCACAGTGAGGACTTCTCTTTAGTCAGAAAACCCTTTGTCCACATCTGGCCAACAGGAGATTAAGCTAATGTAGACCCTTCCTGCTAAAAACACCCCAACATACTGGATAAAAAATAACTGAAATTGGGCTTCTCTGGTTGCACAGTGGTTGGGAATCCACCTGACAATGCAGGGGACATGGGTTCAAGCCCTGGTCCGGGATGATCTCACAAGCTGCGAGGCAACTGGGCCCACGCACCACAGCTATTGAGCCTGTGCTCTAGAGCCCGTGAGCCGCAACTGCTGAAGCCCGTGCACCTAGAGCCTGTGCTCCACAATGGGGGGGAGGTCACCGCAGTGAGAGGCCCGCGCCTCTGCTCGCCGCAACTAGAGAAAGGCCCGCGGGAAGCAATGAAGACCCAATGCAGCCAAAAATAAAATAATTTTTTAAAAAGTCTTAAAAAAATAACTGAAATTATTTTAAATGTGAGGCTAAGTTCATAGGAAAGAAAGGAAATTCCACTAGAATCAGAAATGAAAGCACCGAGTTCAGAGCAGCGAGCAGAAGAGCTGATGGCTGGCAACTCTGTGGGGGTGGAGAAGTGGAAATGAGAGTTATTCGGGCCAGGGCTTGGGTTTCGATGCTCTGCAGGGACCAGACAGAACCTTGGGCCCATGGAAAGCCTGCAGAATGTATACATTTGGTGAAAAAAGGGTTAGAAAAACCCCACCTACCAGCCCAGAGAGCTGGCAAAGAAGCCTGTCTCTGCCAGGGTGCTGCTGGTGGTGGAGGGGAGCCCCCAGGTCCCCAGGAGGACCCTGGGCTCATACTACCAGAGTGGGAGGGCAGACACTCAAAATGAAACCTTGCCCTGGGACGTTGTGCCCCCTGAAGTACCTGGCAGACAAAAGCCAAATGTTCTATAGGACTACCTCCAGGGCCCAGGCTACACAGGTACGCACAGGGAAAACAAGCTCCCCCTCCCCCAAAGGTGACCTTCTACAAACAGTACAGAACACATGGCCACACTCCACCCCGAGGTGAGTAGCTCACCTCAGACACAAGTAGCTCCCCATGAGCAATCCAAAAAAGACCATAAAAAAGTATGCTATGAATAATTAAAGAGGTAAAATTAAAGACAGAAAATGCAACAGAAGAACAAAATATTAACATAATGAATAAAAGACCACGTAGCTTTTGAAAAAGATCCAGACAAAATGGCTAGAAATGCAGAATATATTCACTTGAAATTAAATGGATGTGCTGAAAGGTAAATCTGACAAAGCCAAGGAGAAAAACAGTAAACTAGAAGATACGGCACTGAGGAAAGTCCCCAGAATGTAGTTTAGGGACCAGGGAGGACCCATGTCACTGAGCCTGGTGGCCGTGTGGCACTTTCCCCCTCATCCTGATAGCCGATGATCTTTCTTTTGCAAGAAACAGAGGCTCAGAGATTCAGTGACTTGTTCAAGCTCTCCCAAAAAGCTGAGTGGCACAACAGGGCTCCTGACTCCCAGTTCAGTGCTCTCTAGGGCACCGTGAGAAAGACCAAGCAAAGGTGAGCCCCTGACCCTTAAAAAAGAGAAAACCTCCTAAAGCCCTTTTTGGAGGCAGACCACTGGCGTGGTTCTGGAAGGCAAAGCTACTATCAGTGGATGTAAATTACAATGGGATAGAGAACAGAATGAGGAAAAACTTGCTGTTCCATAGCAGAGAGGGTGGCCCTGTCTGGAGGAAAGTGAGTGCCTTGCCCAGAGGTGAACAAGGGAAGGCTGGCTGGAGGGCCTCAAAAGGGATTTTTGGACAGGTGAAGGGTGGGGGTTAGATCCTTCCCCAAGGTGGCTTCCAATTATGGGGTCACACAGGCTATGACTTTCAGTTTCTGCTCTACTCTCAAAGAATGAAATTTCAAAGGGCCAACAGCAGTTCTTGAAACAACTACTTCTGGCAAGCAAAGCCCATCTGTCACCAGGGTCCCTGCTCACCGGGCTACAGTCACAGTTCTGGTTGTGACCGTGGAGGACAAGGGCAGATGCTGAATGCTTCCTCCAAATCAGTTTGTCAAACAAATTGTTCAGCCCAGGGATCAGCTTGAACTCCGCAATCATTCTGTGAACCTGGATGGGGCAGGAAGGCAAAAGCATTAAGACAAATGTGCTGTGAAGGCCTATCAAAGCCTGGGCAGGTAGGTACCATGAGGCTTCAGGACGAAGAAAGCATTGCTGAGGTTTAAAGAAAACAGCCACACTTACTCTACCCTTACCACCACTCCCACTATGCACAAACATACTTTTAAACTCTCTAGAAGGAGACATTAATAACTGGTAAAATTAGATGCTTCATGGGAGAACCCTGAATGTTCAGGATCAGAGGGGAGAAAGGCTCCACTTATACTCATTTACACCTTTTAATACAGAATTATGTGAATTACTGACCTATTAAAATAATTTTTTACATAACATAAAACTATTACTACTTTTCAGGGCTGTTGTAAGGATAAAGTCAGAAAACATATGTCTAGTCCAGAGCACAGCCCCAGTACTTACTAATTCCCATTTTACAGAGGAAAGGAAAGTTTAGCAGGACTGATGTGGCCAAGGCAGGGGTGGAAATGTCACCCTAACTCAGGTGTTCTGATCTGAAAGCCTGTCCCTTCCCCGTCCACCACAGGCTGGTGTTTATCTTGGGAGACCAGAACTTGACAGTGCTGTGACTCTGGGCAACATTCTTCTTTAAGCCTGAGTCCCTTGATGGAAAATGAGGGCTGAATGAGATAATGTGGGGGAAGCTCAGGGCCTGACTTACAGGAAGCGCTGGAAAAAATGACTGTTGTATTGATTATTTTCACTAGCACCAGAGGGATGGAACTTATGACATTTAGTGAGCATTTCCAGTCTAGTGATTTCAACTTAGCCAAGACTGGTCAGAGAACCTGGCCCAAGTGCACAATAATAAGGTCACTCCAAGGAGGAGCCTTCTGGGGGACCTGGCCGGGGAAACTGTTCCCCCTACTGTCCTGGTCTAGGCGGGGTCTGTGATTCCATGTCCCCACAGTGCCTAGCACACAGTAGGAACTCAGTTAATGCTGACTGTGCAAATGAGGACACACCAGCATAACACTGGTTCTCAGGAAGGCAGGGTTCTGAGGCCAGCTGATGGTCCCTGCCAAGGAAGCGGCGGCTGTTATCACCGTTTAACTAAAGCCCGCAATGATTCATAGAAACTTGTTTAACAGGAGGGCTCAGAGAGCAGGGAACTGCCATGGTGAGGGGACAGAAAGAAGAGTCAGGGCAGCAGAGTTTAAATCCTGGCTCTCACGATGCCTGAGATGACTGAGAGCAGGGCCCTTTTTTGTATCTTCATTTTCACAAGCATCAAGTGGGGTAGAGGTCACCACCTGCTGTATAACTTACCAAATAACCTCAAATTCAAATATGAATGACTATGAAAGTGCCTCAAAAAAGAAAAAGCACTCAACACAGGTAAGATATCGTGACTAATATCTTTTATAAGAAATATATTCCATATTAAAGGAAGGAGCCCCAGTGCTGTGGACATCAGGGCAGGATCTCATCCACCGTCCTGGTTTTAAATGCCAACCACAGGGTGACGACCCCCAAAGTTATACCTCCAGGTCTCTCCTCTCCCCTAACTCCAGGTGCAGGTAAGCCAAACGCCAATTCTAACAGACACCTAAACCTAACTTGTTCAAACTGAACTCCTCCCCTTCCTGCCTTCAGACGTCTGCCCCTCCAATCCTTACCCACCAGTCTTAACCATGTCAATAAATGGCAAACCATTCCTCCCACCTGCTTGGAAAGAGGTAAGGAAGTTACCTTTAACTCCTCTCTCCACTTATGTCCACATCTAACCTATCAGCAAATCTTACCTGTTCTACCTTCAAAATAGATCCAGAATGCAAGCACCTCTCACCACTCCTGCCACAAACATGCTGGTCCTAGCTACTGTGAGCTCTTTCACACAGCAGCCAGAGGATGGCTTCCCACTTCACTCAGAGTATAAACACAAGAGCCCTTAAATGGCCTATGAAAGCCCAATGTGACCTTGCCCCCGCGCAACCCCTCAGCCCACCTCTCCTCGCTGCTGGTTCCTGTCCATCCCCCAGCTTCCCTACTGTTCCACCAACCCACCAGGCAGGTTCGCACCCACTTCCCACCTGGGCCTGCTCCCTCTACCTGGCAGGCTGTCTTGAGGCTCAGCAGTCCTGGCTTCCTCGCTTTCTTCAGGACACTCTGCCGGGCCAGATGTCATCCTTCAGCCAGTCTTTTCCCTGCTGCCCTCTCTAAATTGCTCCTCACTTGTAAACTTGTGATAACTGCACCCACCTCACAGAGAGCTGTGTGAGAGTACAGTCCCTAACTCAAAAAGGCGCTCAAGGACTGCTGAGCTCCCAGCTCCCCCTTCCCTTAGCCCACCCCTCCCCCCAGGCCTCGTTTCACCCCTAGGAGAATGCGTAGGGAGCATGAGTGGGCCACTTATGCATCTTGAGGAGTGCTGCATACTTCTAGAGCCCTCCCCCTCCTCCCTGCTCCTCCCTCCTGGAACTGCTTCAAGGTTCAAGGAACCTCAGCAAGGCTTGACCCCCTGTAGTTGCCTAGTTTTCATAACTTGACACAGTTCTGACCCACCACCCCAAGCCCCCATCAGCCTGGCAACTCCTCCAGTGCATCTACAGGGCAGATACCCACCCTTTACTCTGCACATTAACAAGGTCAGATAACATGGCTAAGCCGCCCACTCCTGCCCAGGGCACCAATGTTCTGTCTAGAGATGATGCCCACAGCAAGGTACAGTGGAAAGGCTATGAGCCCCGGCATCAGACTGGTTTCCTGCTGTGTAAAACAGGGACAAGGGAGCCAGCCCCTCGCTTTGCAGGCCAGAGACAGAGGCATTGTGAGGGGCGGCCTAACAGGTGCCTGGGAAGTGTCTGCCCCGCGGCTCCTCCTGCTCTGAGACGTGGCGGAAGGGCCCACCTGGTTTCGCTGGCGCCCCATCAGCAACACGCAGAGGACATAGAGCACTTCCAGTTTGTACATGATCTCATGCATGATCTTCATTGACTGAGGCAGCTGGGTCCTAGGTGAAGTGTGAGGCAGGCCATTTTCCTCCGAAGCCCCTGGAGGAGGGAGCACAATGGAGGCTGAGACAGCCACCAGGAGAGAGGGTTCAATCACTGCTCGTGAGGAAACATGTTTCTGCCCCTCAAACCTGCTCTGAACAGACCTGAGGTAACAGAGCCATCAGACTGGGCCCTGAGTCCATGACAGAGACTTTGAAAGCCACAAAACTCTCTCCAGGCCACCGGGTTCAGGGAAGCTTAGAAACAGGAACATGGACTCTGCAATTGTATCCCATCAGCTTTTAACACCCAGCAAAAATACTCTGACACAGCCAACCCAGTAACCTAATCCATGCCCTGCCCCCAAATCCCTTCTCCTGCCACCGCCAGACCCACCGCGCCCACCCCGAGAAAGTGCCCAGACAGATGTCCAGCAGCAAACTGTGTCAAATTCTCTTCAGGTCACAAATGACTCTTGAGTACTTGGTCCCCTCTGCTTAGATGCCACAAGGGGGCACTGCTGAAGGACTAAAATGGATGCTTTTTGAAGATTTTTTTCCCTCCTGTTTTTCAAACAGCCATGGAAAGTTTCCTAAGGCAGACAAGGCATCACAATCGATACTAGTGATACAGATGAACATATTATCTACTAGCAGGTTTTCATTTTACCCAATTTCATTATTAGCGACAACAGCAAAAGCTACATAATATTCATGGACACAATATGTGTCAGGCATTGGGTTTTGGGCTTTAGGTAAACCATCTCATTTCCTCTACTACCCGGTTAACAAAAAAGTCTCAGTGGGTCACGCAGGCTGCAGTGGAGGGTACTCTCGGGAATGGGGCAGAGCAAAGGGATGAAGACTGAGGGCGGGCTGTGGAACGACAACTTGCTGGCTGTGTGACCCTGAGCAAGTCACCTCCTCGTCAGGCTTTCAAGTGCTCTGTAAACGGGAAGAAAAGTAGTGCTGCAGCAGTCGGCTAGAGTTCCTGTGAGGAGTGAAGGAGGACACAAGAAGGCCCAGCACCTGATTCTTGGGAAGCCTCACTCTTAGGTCCCTATTATTTTAAAAGGTCAGAGTCAGGAGACCTTAGGATTTACTTCCCCTTAGTTTTCCTCATCTTTAAGGTGAAAGGATGAATCAGTAACTACTAAGGTCCTTTTAAGTTCCTACTGGAACTGTTGCCCTAGAGGCCTTTTGAAAAGGCCAGAAAGTCTATGTGGTACAGAGCAGTGGTCATGAGATATATTCGGGTGAGGCACATGCAGTTATGATTTCTGTACGGTGATATCATGACCTAAAAACCTAACTTACTCCACCCTACAGACTTAGAACTATTTTTTCCAGCCATGTTACATCACTAATATAAAAGCTGAAAGACGACCAGCTGCTGAACGAAGCATGACAGAGAGGCAGTGCAGCACAGTGGTTAAGGACTCGGAGCCAGACTGCTGGGTGGCTTTGGGGAAGTCTGTTGATGTGTCTATGCTTCAGTATCCATCCTCATCTGTAAAACAGAAATAATGGCAACAGTACCTATCTCTTACCAACGTTGCAAAGATTAAATGATTTAATATGTTGAAAGTGCTTAAAAAATGCAGGGCACACGTACCCAACATACAAGTATGTGTTAAACAGAAGTAGAAAACGAACTCTGAGTTTTTGCTAATGCTTGCTTGCTATATGTTTTCTTCCTTTTAATCTGCAAGCTCTTAATGGCAACGAAAGTGACAGCCAGCAAAGACTAAGAAAAATTTACTGGAAAACATCTAATTGAGAAAATTCTATCTATTCACATATCTTTTCTTGCATGTTGGGAGGAAAACCATAATTACTCAATTTACGTCTTGGGACTCCTTGGCCCCGCTCCCAGAACAGTTTAAGAGTCAACTGATTTGTAAAGAGAATCAAGAGCTATCACGCAGAATCGCGCCTCTGCTGCACACCTGCCATGTAGCCTCCAGCGCCTCAGCGTCCTCCTCACCTAGCTTGGGGGTCTGGGGGGGACTGCGGGAGAGGACGTCTGTGGAAGGAGCAGGGGCGGCGGATGGCGCATGAGCCCTCCTCAGTAATGAACGTCTGTGGAGAAAGAGAGATGCAGGCAGCCTGGACTCTGGCGAGTCACTGCCAACTTCTGGTGCCTGGTTTGCAAAGGCCTGACAAGAAACTCTGGGATAAATATTTTCACGAATCACAGTCCTGAAAGCAATGGCCAGAGCTTAGTAACAACGTGATTCCCAAGGATGAGGATGGAAAAACTAGTTTAAGAGGCCTGTGCTTCCCTCCAAATCTCTTCAGCTCCACAATACTGATTAAAGTGGGTACCACCCTCCATATATCTGTACTGTACCCTGGGGCACACTCACTTTAAAAAAAAAACAAAACAGCTCTGAGCTATGATTCACATGCCATACAATTCACCCCTTTCAAACGTACAATTTATTGGGCTTTAATATATTCACAGAATTGTGCAGCCATCTCCACAATCAATATTAGAGCATTGTTATCACCCCTAAAAGAAATCCTGTTCGCATTAGCAGTCAATCCCCATTTCCCGCCAAGCCCCTACAGCCCCAGGCATCCACTAGACTATTTTCTGTCTCTATGGAACTGCCTATTCAGGACATTTTATATAAATAGAATCATATAACTTGTGTTTGTTTGTTTCTAGCACAATGGTTTCAAGGTTCATTCAGGTTGCAGTATGTAACAGTATTTCATTTTTTTTAATTACTGTATAATATTCTATTACATACAATATACCACATTGTTATCCATTCATCAGTTGATGGACATTTGAGTTGTTTCCATATTTTGGCTATAGTAAATCTTCTCTTATGAACATTCGTGTCTAAGTTTTTGCATAAACATATGTTTTCATTTCTCTTGGGTATATACCTACAAGTGGAATTTCTAGGTCATACAGAAACTATGTTTAACCTTTTGAGTACCTGACAGACTGTTTACCACAGTGGCTGCACCATTTTGCATGCCCACCAACAGGGAATGGGGTTCTGATTTCTCCATCTCCTTGTCGACACCTGTTATCTGTCTCTTTTTTTAAATTAATTAATTAATTAATCTTTCGCTGCATTGAGTCTTTGTTGCTGCACGCGGGTTTTCTCTAGTTGCGGCGAGCAGGGCTACTCTTCGTTGCAGTGCGCGGACTTATTGTGGTGGCCCCTCGTTGTGGGGCACGTGCTCTAGGCACGTGGGCTACAGTGGTTGCGGTGCGTGGGCTCAGTAGTTGTGGCTCACGGGCTCTAGAGCACAGGCTCAGTAGCTGTGGCGGACAGGCTTAGTTGCTCTGCAGCATGTGGGATCTTTCTGGGCCAGGGCTTGAACCCTTTTCCCCTACATTGGCAGGCAGATTCTTAACCACTACGCCACCAGGGAAGCCCCATGTTACCTGTCTTTTTGATGATAATCATCCTAGTGGGTGTGGAGTGGTATCTGATTGTGGGTTGGATCTGCATTTCCCTGATGGCTAATGATGCTGAGCATGTTTTCATGTGCTTGCTGGCTATTCTTATATCTTCTTTGGAGAAAGTCTATTCAGATCTTTTGCCCATAATTCGAAATGGGTTGTCTTTTCATTATGGAGCTGTAGGAGTTCTTTATATCTCCTAGATACAAGTACCTTATTAGATATATGGTTGGCAAAAATGTTCGCCACCCTCCAACAATGTTCTCCCATTCCGGCTTTTCACTTTCTTGATGGTGTTTTTTGAAGCACAAAAGCTTTTAATTTTAATGAAGTCCAATTTACCTATTTTTCATTTGGCTGCCTGTGCTTTAGTGTCATCTAAGAAACCACCACCAAATCCAAAGTCATAAAGATTTATCCCTATTTTCTTCTAAGCGCTTTATAGGATTAGCTCTTACATTTAGGTCTTTGATTCTTTTGAGTTCATTTTTATATATGTGAGGTAGGGGGGTCCACTTCATTCTTTTGCATGTGTACAGCTAATGGTCCCAGTACCATTTGTTGAAAAGACTACTGTTTCCCCAACTGAATGGTCTTGGCACTCTTGCTGAAAATCAACCGACCACATAAGTGAGCATTTATTTCTGAACTCTCAATTCTATTTCATTGTATATGTCTCTCTTTATGCCAGTAGCACACTGTCTTGATTACTACAGCTTTGTACTAAGTTGAAAAATTAGGAAATGTAAGTCCTCCATGTTTGTTCTTCTTCTTCAAGATTGTCCTGGCTATTCTGGGGCCCTTGCATTTCCAAATGAATTTTAGGACCAGCTAGCCCATTTCTGCAAAGAGCCAGAGGGGATGGTGATAGGGACCATGTTGAATCTGTAGACAGATCTGTAGATCAAGGTGTGAAATACTGTTACTTTAACAATACTGACTCTTCTGATTCATGAACATAAGCTGTCTTTACATTCATTTAGGTTTTCTTTCTTTCAGTAACAGTGATGTTTTGCACTTTGAATTCAGAGTATAAGTTTTATATTTCTTTGCTAAATTTATCACTAAGTATTTTATTCTTCTTTGATGCTCCTTTAAGTGAAATTGTTTTAATTTCATTTTTTGTCTGTTCACTGCCACTGTATAGAAATACAAGTGATTTTTGTATACTGATCTTCCATCCTGAAACTGTGTTGAATGAACTTGTTTATTGGTTTAGCAGTGTTTCAGTGGATCCTTAGGTTTTTCTAAATAAAAGATCACATCATCTGTGACTAGAGATAGTTTTACTTCTTCCTAATGTGGATGCCTTTTATTTCTTTTTCTTGCCTAACTACCTAGCCAGAACCTCCAGTACAGTGTTGAATACAAGTGGTAAGAGCAGATATCTTTGTCTTGTTCTGATCTTAGTGAGGGAAAAGCTTTCAGTCTTCAGCTGTTAAGTATAATGTTGGTTATGGGTTTTCTGTAGATGCTTTTTAACAGGTTGAGGAATTCCCTTCGATTCCGAGTTCGAATGTTTTTATCATGAAGATGGAGTTTGTCAAATGCTTTTTTTGCATCTATCGAAATAATCATGTAGTTTTTGTCCTTTGTTCTATTGATATGCTATATTAAATTGATTTTCATATACTGAGCCAACCTTGCATAAA